AGCAGCTGAAGCAGGAGGGCCTGCTGAATGCAGAGCAATTCGAGCTCAAGCACCAACAGCTTGCATAGCTGTCCCCTGTATGGCTCCTGCAGTTCTCGCTTCAGCACAGCTGCTGTGCATGCATAGGGCTTCTTGGCTGCCGCTGAAACGCGGCCAAAGCTGCCATGCCCCATTTCGATTTTTTTTGTATTAGCAGTGAGGGGAAGGTGCCCGTTTCTTCCAAATACGTAAGCCTAGGAAGATGAACCCAAACGAAGACTAGATTCGGGGCACATTCCCATATCAGTTAGACTAGTACTCGTCAATAGCGTTCTTTTCAGCGGTCTTGATTTTTCGCGCTGTGGTGCTCCTGCCCACATGCAGTGCTAGCATGCCTCCTGGCACTCGCTGCTTGCGCATACCGCTCCAGCATCACCAGCGGGCAGTCGTTTTCAGGACGTTCGCAACACGCAAATTTCAGAAGGGAGTGCTCAACAAGCGCAAGTTCATGGTAGTTGGTGGTTCTTCATTTGGGCATACCTTCGTTGCAGTCACTGACGTGATGAGACCGACTCTCGAATCCACCAAAGTAAAATCCCAGTACATTTAATGATTCCGAGGCAGGTGCCCTTGCGCAGGCCTTCCCTACTATTTCCCTAGCAATTGACGCTTTGACTACAAGCTTGCCAGTGAGATTTGCATGAATGCTCACGCTTTCCATTTGATTTCCATGTGTTTTCTATGTGATTCTCCATTATGGGGATAATATCCCTAAACCGCTTATAAACCCTAAACATTAAACCCTAATACCTACACCCCAAACCGCGTTATGCGCCTATATACCATCGAAAGGTACGGTGATTCTGTCAGACCAGGCCACTGCGAAGGGCCCCCAAAACCACGGCTTAGGGTTGAAGGTCCATTGGCCTCTGTGATTACGCCCCTTACTGATGAGCTAGAGCCTAAACTCCTAGCATCTCCCTCAATAACCCCTATAGTTGTCCCCTATATAATCCATCATATTTACCCCTTTAAGGAGTTTAGAGTCATGCTGAACTAGCAGCAAAATATAGAGCTGCTCATTTACGACAAGAAATTCACCACCCACGGACCAAGAACTCGAATGCAGCAGTTCCAGCCTGGACCCCGCCCGCAATTCAAACTGGCTGAACTTCGAGATCGGAAGCCCAAAGCCACGAAGATCTGCAAAGTAAGCCAACGAAATCTACATCCCATGGCTCCGAGCCCTGCAACCCAAAACGGCTAAGGTTTCGTGATTGTAACATAGGGTCCACATGGGGTACAACCTTGGAAGCCTGTGACCACCGGATGCCATCAATCTGCACAGGCGAGTTGAACTCCTTCTCCGCAGGCTCTGCGAAGGGGGAAGATAACACAGAGGCTTGAACTAGTGGCTCTTTGTTAAGGAGCTGCAATTTGAGTTGGCATCATGGGGGAAGCCATGTTATTTACTATATGTCCATACTGTGGTACACTGATTGAAGTTCTGCAACAGCAACCCGAGTTATTGGGTGTAGGGCGGAGGGTCAGAGTTTAAGGGATGAAGGCTTTTGAGGTAAGCGTTTAGCAGGATTGGGTAATGCTTTCACAGGAAAGTAGGTAGCATGCAGTTTATGCAAGCTTCCACAAGTTGTCGTAGAGTGCCGTCCAGTACCACTTTAGATGAATCCGATGCCCAAGACCCTTTTTGCAGCACTCAGGCCGCAAATGCTCCGGAACTGATTTCAAGCTTCAGTGGTCGTGCGCTTTGATTCAGTTTTAGGCAGCTGTTCACATTTGAGGTAATGCGCGGGCGTCCTCACTCTAAGGTACTACCACTTACTAGATAAAAGCAAAGCGGTCCTAATCTGGGAAGTATCCACGTAAACCTACCAACCCTCAAGCTTCAGAACAGGGCCTTACTAAAGTCCTCAAGCTGCAGCACCTCGGAGCCCTTGGGCCAGACACCCCCATGCGCTCAGCCCTGCAGAATTAGGAAGCCCTTAGCAATCCTTTGATACTCCTCTGAAACCCCGAGACCCAAACCTGTGGTTCTGGGGCCCAACTTCTGCCAGCGCCAAGAGGTCGATACCTCCGAGGGGACCACATCGAGCGCCACGACGACCGGCAGTACACAGATGTTTGCAGCGGGACCGCGCGTCATTCTTTGGGGCTCTGAGGCGTCAGCATTTACATGCCGTTGAAATTTTGTGTGTTCAGATTATGACATCTATGAGTAGAGTACAGGCTGATTGTAGGGATCCAGCTGCGTGTTGGGATAATTGGGAGCCCTTCAGACAGAGAGGCGATTACCCAGCAACAACTTGCTGCTTGTGCCGCAGCCCCCGCACCAGATAGATAGATAGATAGATAGATGGATAGATATGCATATAGTGCTTATAATATCGGTTCACAAAGGACTGGAGAGGGTTTAGGGATATTACCCCCATTGATGGAGAAGCCCTGGAAGATGAAATGGAAACTGGTAATGTAGGGGCCTAAATTGACTACCGACATCAGTTTGAGGTCTGTTAAAGGCCCCCGAAACGTCGCTCTTGTTCAAGAAGCCTGCGAACCTCGAAGCTCGCCCAAATCCACAAACCTTGGCTCTAACCAAACCGCCTGTTTACACAAGATCCCCTTCAAAAAGTGGAAGCTGCTGTAACACATCTGAAGCATAGCCTAAGAAGCAAATCCAACGCGAGGTTAGCGTGGGTGCAAGCGGACTATGGGGTTCAGTGTGTAAAGCCCAAGCAACTTCATAGACTGGCCGGCATAACTTTGACCGCTGCCTGTCTCAGCGCCTCTTAACGAATCTTGGTTGTCACTCCTAGAACCACGGTGTAGAGTCCGTTGCCCAAGGTATGGATGATGGCTCCACTGTACTCTGCTCGAGGACGGCGGGCACCCGAGCACGCTTGAGTCTTTGGCCTTGACATGCTTCCGTCTCTTTGAGGGGGGCAATGAGAGCCATCTTGCGCAGTTGAGTAATGTAGACCCCTGATTAATGAATCCCCTCCCCTTAATAGGGATTCTAGCAGGGATCCTAAGAGTAAGGGCCCCAAAAGGAGAGGGTTTATTAATTAGGGGTCTACATCGCAGACATGTCTCAGCCAGGGATTTCTTGGACTACTCTGCAGGCTTTGTACTGTGATCGTGCTAGTCACCCACCAGAGGAGCTTTGCTGGTCATTCAAACCTCTGGTTTCCCCCCTTTGGGGCAGGAAACGTGTTGTGGGTAGGGCGAGGTTGGACTCACAAAGGCTTTCCCAACGTGTGCTAAGAAATCTGGGCTCAGAACTCTGGGAAGCATTTGGCTAAATGCAAGCAATTTCCTCACAGTAAGAATCCCTATCAGAACAATTGAAGGCTTGGCTTTGAATTCTTCCATGGGTTCGGGGCGTAAGTTTTAGGTTCCCCCTTAAGTAGATAGACTATGGCTTTGGGTATATTATAATCCCCATATACCCATATTCTATTTACTTAAGGGGGACTATAAGGTCTAGGTCCCTGGCCTGATTGAAATGGGGATGAGGGTAACCCAGCCTAAGGTAAGGGCTTTGTGGTTGTAGTGAAGGGGCCTCAATGGTCACCACTATTAGGGTTTCCCAAAATTAGGTGGTACCCTATTTGGGGGTCCCCATAATAAGGATTAGAGTATTTTGGGGTCTATATTGGGGTCCACCTATGTTGAAACCACCCAATTTCATGGAATTACATCTCTTGTATTGTATGATCTTGGCCAAATGTATGATCCTTGTTCCCATTCCGTTGTCCATGTGCCTTTCCATTGGATTCTCCGTTGGCGGGGTCATATCCCTAAGCCCTCCACAACCTGCATATCATCTCTATACATCCCCCTGTAATAACCCTATACATTTCCAACCATGCATTAAACCTTAAACCCTAAACCTTAGGCTCTAAACTGGGTAGGCCCCTGGGATATTAAATATGTTCCCTAATGGCTTTGATAAGGGACCCTATATACTATTTTTCAAAGGGGTTTAGGGGCCCTACCCAGTAAACATTTTGTTTTAATTGAAAGCGCCTAGGTGGCAGTCATTTGGTACCTGACGCCTGACTGGCGCAAGGCAGGTTTTGAACTGCTTCAGCCTCTACTGCCACAGGGGTTCAAGGTTTCGGCTCTAGGGAGTTTAGGGAGTTAAGGATCTAGGGTAAGGGTTTAGGGGTATTACCCCCAATAATGAAGAATCAAACGGAAACGAACATATAGGGCTGATGAGGGTTCAGTGTTAGTGGTAACCTTTTTACAGAGTCATGGGGCGCAGTAAGCAGGTTAATATTGGGGATGAATGGATTTCTCATGTGGCCAGAAGGGGATAGAAGTATATTTGCCAAGCCCCCTGGCCCTCCAAGTACCTCCTCCGAATTGTCTACAGGACATACCTTCAATGCAGAAGGATTGCTTCTTCCATCTCGCAAGTCATGGTATCGTGGGCATGTTCCTCCAACAAGTTTTGTATGTGGTTGCTGCTCCTTGCAAGCTTACTGTCACCATTCCTGTGCATTCCTCCTGAAGCACCCGGAGTTAGGGGCATCTCATAGGCGGAATTTCAAACTCTCATGTGCAGAAAGCCGAGGTACATGTTGAATACCTTCCACAATCTGTCCAACTCCAACCATGGACCCAAGGGATGATTCCCAAAGCTCAAAACCCTACTTGGAATTGAAGAGCTAGTGTCATGGGGATTTTATCAAATGTGCCGAAACTGAACCTGAAAGCCAAAACCCCTGAATCTGGACCTGTAGACCCGAAAGCCCCAAACTCCTTAATGCTGAGCTCGAAACCCTTCAGGTTACCCTCTGGGTTTGTACTGTTGAGGCTAAAAAATCCTGCCTGACGTTGGTATACTACAGTACCACAATTCCCAAAATACAAGGTACCTAGGGTCATGCAGGATTTTAAGTATTCATCCTAACCCCCTATATGATTGCAGCTGCTATTTAATTTGCCACGTTCTTTTCCATTTGATGCTCCATTATTAAAACTATTGGGGTGCCATTAGTCTGATTCAGGGTTTAGGGTTCCGAATCGTAAGCCAAACCCTAAACCCTAAAACCTAAACCCTAAACCCTAGTCACTTCCACTCCTTGCAGGAGTGGGGTGGGGCATTCCTTGACCTGGAGTCTGGTGAGGAGGCTTAGGGCCCTTTTTTAGGGTTTAGGATTTATTTGCGTCTTAGGGTTTAGGATCTAGGGTTTAGGGTTTAGGGTTTACGGTTTAGACAAATTGGTCATCAAGATGGTGTGAGTGATGGAGAATCAAATGGGAAAGAGCATGGAGGATGAGATGGAAGCTGCGATTTAGGGTTTAGGGTTGGGGTTCATTATGTTGGGGTACATGATTGGGGCTATGTAGGGGTACATGAGGTGTTGCAGGGTTGGGGGATGAGGGCAGTAATGGAGAATCCAATGCAAAATGGAGCATGACATAGAAACCGGGGGTTTAGAGTGATATTTAGGGATATTGAAGAATCAGATGGAAAGGAACCTTCAAGATGAAGTGGAACCCCGGCCCTTGTATAGGGGTTGTATGGAGATGGGGGTTTTTGCTGCACTGACCCCAGACCTGAGGACCCCATTGCAGTTGTAAATCTTTTGGGGTCCTCACTACACTGTTGAGGTTATCAGAATTCCCTTCTTTGTGTTGTGTGAGGTGCTTTAGACACTATATAGTGGGTGTTGGGACAACTTAGGCAGTGGGTTGCGAGAAGAAACTGTCACTACCCAATAGGGATAATGGAAAAGAAAATGGAAGCTACTATTATAATAGGGTATATATAGGGGTTATATAGGGATAATGGAAAAGAAAATGGAAACTGCTATAAAGGGTTTATACAGGAAGCAAAGCACTCACCATCCTGTGAAGCGACCTACTTGGAGGGTCAGGGAACTTAGCGACTTCGTGTGTAGGTTAAGTTGGCAGATATTTGAGACAACTATGTGGCCCCTAGGCGTGTTAAATATACTTAGCCCCCATGACCCTCCAAGTACAAGGGTTGAAAACCCAGGTCGACATGTAGGCAGGCGTGCTATTCATCATGATGACACCCCTGTCACATTGTAGCTCCCCCAGACCAACCTGCAAACTATATAGCCGGAGAGTAGCTTGATGTGTGAGTTGGTTCGCTGTACTGGCTTAACTCCCACCCCTACGATGAGCGGCTTGGCTTATGTTTTCATGAAGTAAGGCTTTTGAGATTGAAGGTTCAGAGGGCTTGTGGTTTTAGAGGGTTTAGGGTCTAGAGGGCTAAAGGTGAGAGGGTTTTGGGTTCAGGAGGTTGCTCGGCGAAGGGTGGCTCGAAGATTCAGGATCAGCCATGACTAAGACCCCGTGCTCTTTCCGTTCTTGCGCAGATGCTGCCAGAGTTCAACACCCTGGTCGCCTTCAACGTCCCTCGCTTCCATGCCACCCCCGCTGCATTTGGGATACTAGGGTTTTGGATTTGGGGTTCAAGATTTTGTGGGCTGCGGGCTTGTATTTTCTCCCGAACAGCATACCCCGTAAACTTCCGAGACCGGCTAAAACGCCTAATACAGAAAAGCTCAACGCAGCAACCCCAAAATCAAAGCTCCAGACCCAAAAGCTTCCACTAATTGCAGTGACCTGCTAGGCGGGAGGAAAAGAAAGGCTGAGTCATAGCTCAGGGAACCAACCGACTAAGTTCTCAAATTTGGGCTCCCTATTCTGTATTTACAATGTAGCATCTGCAATGATCGTGGTGTGCTGCTGCAAATGACGGATCAAGCCATTTGCTTCCTTTTGCCCTGGCTCATGGCCACTTCAACCCTTCATCTTCCATGAGTTGTTTCCAAGCCCTAAATAACCCCTATAGACATAACCCCCATAGAAGCCCTATAGAACCCCAATAGCAAAAAACACCACTTAAACCACCAAACGCGATAGAGGTGCCAGGATCCTCTGGCCTTTGCCCTGGAATCCTTTGAGCCCTGAAGTATGAAATCCAGCCAACGATTTGCGCTACCTAACCATATCCTCAACCTGAAAATGTTGAGACCTACAACCCATACCCTCAAATCTGAAAAAGCTGCCGCCGTGGCCATGGCTTGCCTGTCCTTCAAGGGACAAGATGGTCGAGCGCCGCTGCTGGGCAAGCACCGTCACACTTGCTTTACGGCTTTGGAGTGGTAGAGCGTAGGTAGCACTGCGCAATAGACCCTTAACCCCACTAGGGTCCAAGGCCATGCCCCAAAATGCTAAAGATCAAAGGCTCTTCGTCTACTACGAGACTTTGGCCAACGGCTCACATCCGGCAGCCTGGCTTTGCTGAGAGCTGCTTGGGAAGCCCCGAAGTGGCTTCCACCTTACAAGGGAATACAGGAATATCGGAATCCACAGGGAGTTATAGAGATATGTAGAGAGTCCTCCTTCGAAACAGGGCTTCCGAAAGTTGAGGTTCTCTCATTGGGAGTTGTTATGGTGGGGGTGTCTATAAGGGGCACCCCTGATTTTTGGCAACATCCGTTTGATAATGACCCGGGTTTAAACCAAGTACCGCCAAACATTCCCTGAGCGGGCAGTGAGCTGGCAAGCCTTATGCACAAAGTCTCAAAGCTACGGCGCCCCGAAAGCCTTAGGGTTTAGGGTTTAGGGTTTAGGGCATTTTTTTGGCTTCAGTCCTGCATGGCAACTGCCACAGCTTGGATGCTGCCCGCATGCCTCTCTCTCTCTCTTTTTCCTGAGCCCGTTTGGGCTTCAACAGGCCTCCCAAACCAGCATTCTTCAAATGTGAGTCTCAGTACACCTTATCTTCCCCAAGGTATTGTATCTCTTTGAGAGGTTGCCCCAGAAAGGGACGTCAAATTTTCAGAAAGGCCCACCGAAACCTAAGGCCTTTAAAGTTTGCATCCTGTCACTGTTTCCAGCCTTCCCAGTCGTCTTAGCATCCCCCAGTCTCAAAGGGTTTAAGGTTTAGGGTCTCCCTAATATGATCCTGAGACTTGAATCCTGAACTCAAATTCCATGTTAAATCGTTAAGCATCGTGAAGAGTTAAAAAAATAGACACCCAAGCATCAGTTGTATTGACTTGGATATGAAGGTGACGTGGGATTTCAGGATGGTGTTTCTGGGTTGCTGTTAAGGA